ATTCTTGATTTCTAAATTCTTCTCGCTCCATATTCTGCTAAAATTCCTTCGATATTTTCGTGATTATTTCATTCGAGTACGATCATTATTTGGTTCGACCGTCAAGGTAGGTATTGTGCAATATCGACTTTGGGAAAAGCGTTGTATCTTGGGAGACAGACGTCCATAATCCTGTTTGCACGTTGTTGGGGGGCGAAATCTGTCTTAAGGAGATTTGCTTTGGCATACCTCGCTTCATCTTCTTCTTTTTTCCGTTTTTCCTGCTTTTTTATTTGTTCTTTCGATTGGGATAGTCGAATTTTCGACAACAATCTTAAGACAGATTTTCATTTCCTTTCTTTCTTCTACATTTCTCTTATTGATTATTTTCTGTAATTGTTGTTTTACAGAAAATGGCTAGTACTAGTGGAAATAATACTAGTGCTGTGATTGCGCCAAATTCTGGTCCCAATCAATTTGTCATGCCACCGGCTTCACAATATGAGAAACCGGAAAAATTCAATGGTACGGATTTCAAGCGTTGACAACAGAAGATGTTATTCTATTTGACAACGTTGAACTTGGTAAAGTTTCTGCGTGAAGAATGTCCCGCACAAACATCGGAGAATGCTATTGATAAAAATACTCAGTTAGCCATTGAAGCATGGAAACATGCAGATTTCTTATGCCGTAATTACATTCTCAATGTCTGACGGGGGTTGGAGATATTGAGGAGAACAAAAATGATGGTGAACAAGAAAATGGTGTTTGAGCCAGAAAAGTGATGCCAATAGTAAATATTTATCGTCATTACAGGCTATTTAGCTTCAGCTTCCTGCATGCAACTTTCTGTGAATGAATTTATTTCTTGGATTTAGGAGGTTATGGAGCTACTTTGGAAAGAAATAATTTGCAGGAGAAACAAGAATTGAAGGGTATTTGATTGATCAAAATTTCTTGTGGTGAATGAAGCTGAAATACGGTAGGCATGCTGCAGGGTTCTTGTTTGTAGTATAGAGCATGTTTGCAAAGCTTAAACGTACGTCAAATTTACTAATAGCTTATTCTTTTCTTCTTATAACTAAATCATGTTACTTACTTTGACTTGTAAACTTATAAGGTTTTGTGCTTAGCAAACATGCACTTAGATGAGCTTTTTTAGCGTTTCCTGTTGAGAAGGGGCTTAATCAGTTGGATCTTGAAACATTTTACCAGGACAAAGAAAAATTGAAATTTGAGAACAGGTCATCAGTGTACTGTTTAATATTTCTGAGTTTAACAGATACTCCATATATTTAATTTGTTTATAAAAATAATCACTTGATATATTTGGGCTATTCTCTTTTATAAGAAAGTGAATTTGCATTGGGAGGCCAAAAAGAAAAGGTGGTATCAAATACCCAATTCGAATCTTAGATTTTGAGGAGGAATTGAATCATGGACACCCTTTATTTCAATGCCCCGGGGCTTGGATATTACTCAAATCTTCAGCTGCAATGAGCTCGAGAGACTTAGCAGCTACCTCACATCTATAACTTCTCTTACTAGACTAGTCTTGAGAGTTTTAGCTGGAAGTTTGATTAACAAGCCCGCTTACGTTTCCTGACTAGCTTCATTCTTGACTGAGCAAGAGATCGTTGCAATTTAAGACATTACTTACATGCTACCTTATGTTCGAGATACCATGACTTTAGAGTCGATATATCACATTTATATCAAATTCTTTCTTTGACCTTAGACGATCAATGATTCTCTCTCATGAGCGTGTTCTATATAGGGCCTATTTGAGCCCCATTATTGGTGTAAAATGTATTTTTGAATAGAAGATTGATAGAGAATATGTGGTTAAAAATGAAGGAAAAGTCTTTGGATTACGTGTGATATTATTTTATTGAAAAATGTGTAGTTGAACAGAAAAGAGAGAAAAATATATTTTGAAAAAAATGAGAATGATACAAGAGCATAATATACAAAATGTTTTTGCTCCTATTAATGTGTCATTAATTTAAAGCATTAGAACGGTTGGTCAAATAAGACAACCAATAACTCTTAAAACACGTTTAACATACAATATTAGCAATAACCTGATTTGAACTTTTTTTTTCTTTTTTATTAACAGTGTCATTTAATACTGTCTAGTTGTCTTGTCGAGCATATCAGTGCCTATTCCTTAGGTTCACCGAGAAAGTCGGTAGGTAAGTAGAACATTGGATTATTAGCACAAAACGTCCTTATGTATGTAGTTTATTGTGCAAAATGTCATAACGTTGCATTTTTTTACATTTTCACCCATATTTCAACATTTTATTACAAAAATCATCATTTTCTATCCAATTTCTCAATAAAAAATTGTAAAATAACAAATATATCCTCATATTTAAATTTTAAAAAAAAGGAAGAAAAGAAAAATAAAAAAACTAATTGCAACTACACTCCCAACTTATTTTAATAAATACAAACAGGTCTTAAATAAATTTTTTAAAAAATTAAAAATTTAAAAAATACTCTTTTCTTTCTCCTCCTTCCTCCTCTTCCCCAACCACCGCCACCTCCCAATAAAATTAAACAAACCATCTCCTGGCAACACACAATCGGATTTCGAATTCTTGTTAAAAATCGAATCTTGTACTAGAAATTTTCTTGGAATTCATCCCGATGAGTCGAAGAATTGCTGCCAGTGTCTTCGCCTTCTGCTTCTTTGACCTTGGACTCCATATCTTCACCATGTTTCTTGTTATCTCCATTGATTGCTAGAATTTTATCTGAACTCAGAAGAAGCCACTACAAGATCTGATTCAAACTGATCACCATCAAGAAGATGTGAAGGAAAACTCTTCGTCTTGGATTTCAGCGTCTTGATAGAGAATTCTCTGACATGTGCGCTGCTCACGTGACCTCCCAATGCCATATCCTCCTCCTCCTCCGCACTTTCTTTCATGTTTGGGAATTTGAATTCCACCCAGAATGTGTTATCAGCCGAACCTCCCCGACGGCGCCACTGTTTCAGTTCCGTCTAAATCTTGGTCATCTTCCATCATTGAAGTCGGCTGATTTTTTGGATCTTTCTCCATTCTCAAGAAAGAAAGAATTGAAACAATTAACAAATTCAATCCTTCAAATAAATTTGGAAATAGATTTTGTACAGAGCGGATTAATTCTACAAACACAAACAAACCCCAAGGAAAGAATACAGAAGGGCGAGGAAAAAATACATGAATTATTTACTGAAAGTGGTTCCAAAATTAAAGAATGTCTTAGTTTACAAGGAAATTGAACAAAAAGGCAACATTGTATTAACACGGAAGGAAAAATTCTCATACATGCTCAAAAAATTCAGATTTTGGTAAACCATAAAGAAGATAGACCCATATCTTGTATGTAAATTCTTCTCTATCTCTATATAATTAGTGTATGTACTATTGTGGGTTTAGGTGTTGAAATGAAAATTTTGGTGCCAAAGAAGTTAAGTAAAGGGTTTGTTGATGATAAAGCCATTAGAGATTCTACAATTCAATTTCAGATTTTCTTATACTTGATTTTTTCTATCATGAAGATTATAGGAATTTGGGCACGTTGGGAAAGAAATGTAAAATTTGTTAGTTGCATGATTTTGTGGAAGATGGAAATTTGTTCAATTGTTTCTGTACTTCGTGGTGGAGGAGAAAGAAAATAGTATTTTTTTTTAGTTTCTATTTTTTTAATAACTTATTCGGGATTTATTTATACTTTAAAAAAAAATGGGAGTATAGTTACAATTAGTTCTTTATTTTTATTTTATTTAAATAGGAGTGTAAATTCATCATTTCATAGCTTTTATTGAAAAATTGGATGAAAATGATGATTTTCACAAAGAAATGTTGAAATAGGGGTGAAAATACAAAAAAATGCAACGCTAAGACATTTTGCAAAATAAACTACATACGTAGGGACGTTTTATGTTAATAACCCTAAAAAATTGGATGCCACAAAGTTTAGTTTAGGACTATAAGCCCCTGTTTGACAACCATACTTTTCAAATTCTTTTTTTTTTCTATATACTCATTTTCAATCATACATTCACACGATAAAATATTCTGCACGTAAACCTAAAATTTTTCCCTATTTTTTAACCACACATTCTTCTAAAAATCACTATTCAAAACTATTTTTTTCCAAAGCATGTTGTTAAACATGGGCTAAATTTCAAAATTAAAAGGAAAAATTACAAACATCTCATGAGTTTCGTGACAATTTCAAAAATACCAACTCTTTTTTTAGAAAATTACATAAACTTCTCTTAGTTTAAGTTTTAAATCATAGTTATAAAACTCGGCCCGGGAAAATCGCAACCCGTGCTGCTGACTTGGCCGGGTTGAACAATTTGATAGAAATACAAATCACTCGGTCAAAATCCGAGTTTGACAGAGTTGACCTGATGGTTGAATGAGTTAATTGGCGATTTTATATTAAACCGGTCCGATTGATTAGTTTGACAAAATTTCAAATTTTTTTCCTTTCATTTGTTGTGTTCAAAGATTTGAACTTTAAAGTAAAGTAAGTAGTAGCCAACCACAAGAGCCCAATAGTTTATTGTTATCCTTTTGCAATAATATATATATATAGTTTGTTAAAAATATTGTTTTAAAAAATTTATAGTCCTAATTTTAATTAAAATGAATTCAATGTTTAGCAAAATAATCTAAAAAATATAAATAATTAATAACAAATAATTCAAAAACTTTCATTTTATTTTAAAGAAAATTTTATACTTAAAAAAACCTTTTAGAATTTTTAAGTATCGACCCATCGGTCCAACCACTAACCCAACGATTCGACCAGTAACCCATGACAGTACCTTGATCAGGTCTATGTACCTATGGGATCTAATAATTATGTTTTAAATAACACACACCTCTCTTTATAACTTTTATTTCACAAGCTAGTATAAATACTAGTAGTAATGCTTGAAATACCCACACGAACTTTCTTCACTTTTATTTCACATGACAGTCCGAGATATATTACTAAGTGACTATAACCCGAGTTTTGGTGTATGGAACAAAATGATACATGACAACCAATTCGAGCCTTAAAGTCTCCAGCCGACCACGAAAAGGCACATTTCACAATATTGAGGGGCACTTGAGCCTTAATGGAGTACATTGTAGTTGAGAACAGATTTTGACAAGATACTAAATAATGGTCACCCTTAATTGCAAGTTAAGCCATTACTTACGCCCAACCTTAAATTCGAGATACCATAATTTTAACATCAATATATCATAATAATAACTAAATCTATATGATCTCCAATTAAGAGTGGGCTTGGGTTGGATAGGTTTTCAGTCCAACCCAAAAGTTGAACTGAACAATTGAAGATGAATAATTTTCAACACAAAGCTAAACTGAACAATTCAAGTGTTTTTCAATCCAAAGCAACCCAAAATTTGGTGCAAAACTAAACCAACCCAAATCAATCAATCAATTTTGGGTCAAATTCGATTGGGGTTGGGACAGACTCACAATTTTGCTACGTTGGTGACCTAAGTTAGACAAGTCACATAAGATATAATCACATTTTGGCTTATCGAACAAAGTGGTAAGCATATACGTAAAACACGATGCAGTTTGCAAGGGCCCCACATAAGGCGAGTCTATATATACTAGTCTCACACTCTTCATACTAGACTCGCGCCACGTTGAATTGATTCGAGTCATTTGACCATATCTCAAACACTTAAGACAAAATGATAAATTGATGAGAGAGAACGCCATTTTGCTTTCTCATTCGTCTCACACAGTCACACATTTTCTCTTTAAAATTCTACCATTACAGAAAATCCATTGCTCTTTGCATTCCAATTTCGATATATACATACATATACACATAAATTTGAGCCATAATTTTGACATTTAGAATAAAGTGAATACGCATTGTGTAGCCAAAAAGAAAAGGTGGTATCAAATACCCAATTCAGATCATAGATTTTGATTATAAACTAAATTATTGTTACTCTCCATTTCAATGCTCGGGCTTAGAAAATTACTCAAATCTTCCTCTCCAATGAGCTCGAGAGACTTAGCAGCTGTCTAAAATCAATGACAACATAGCTTACTAGATCAAGCTTCAGATTTAAGCAAGAAGCTTGATTAACAAACTCCTTATGATTCCTTACTAGCTTCATCTTTCTTGATCGGGCAAGAAATAATTGCAAATTAAGACATCATTTACGTGTTACCTTAATTCGAGATACCATAACTTTAGAGGGTGATAAATCACAATTATATCAATTTTTCCTTTGATCTACTAAGATCAATGATTCTCTCTTTATAGAATATGGACGTGTTCCATATAATACAAAAATATTTATGCTCAGGTGGGCTTGGGTTGGATAAGTTTCAATCCAACCCAAAGCTGAATTGAACATTTCAAGTTGAATATTTTTCTACCCAAACCCTAAGATTTGGTTCAACATTGAACCAACCTAAATCAATAAATCTTGGGTTAGTTTGGATTGGGCTTGGGTCAGACTCAAAATCTTGCTACCTTAGCGGCCTAAGTTAGGCAAGTCTCATAAGACATAATCACATTTTGGCTTGTCAAACGAATTGGTAAGCATATAAGTAAAAACACGATGCAGTTTGCAAGGGCCCCGCATTAGGCGATACTAGTCTCACACTCTTAAGACAAAATGACAAATTGATGAGAGAGAACGCTATTTTGCTTACTCATTCGTCTCACATAGTCACATCTTTTCTCTCTAAAATTCTACCATTACAGAAAATTCATTGCTCTTTGCATTCCAATTTTGATATATACATGCATATACACATAAATTTGAGCCATGATTTTGACATTTAGAATAAAGTGAAAGCGCATTTTGCGGCCAGAAAGAAAAGGATGTATCAAATACCCAATTCAAATCATAAATTTAGATGCTAAACTGAATTATTGTAACTCTTAATTTCGATGCTCGGGCTTGGAAATTACTCAAGTCTTCCTCTCCAATGAGCTCAAGAGTCTTAGCAGCTGTCTAAAATCTATGACAACATAGCTTACTAGATCGAGCTTCAGAGTTTCAACAAGAAGCTCGATTAAATAAGCTTCTTATGTTTCCTTACTAGCTTCATCTTTCTTGACCGAGCAAGAGATCATTGCAAATTAAGGCATTATTTACATGTTATCTTAAATTCAAGATACCGTAACTTTAGAGTCGATATATTACATATATATCAAAATTTTCTTTGATCAACGAAGATCAATGATTCTTTCTTTATAGAATATGGGTGTGTTCTATATAATACAAAAATATTTTTGCTCCTATTAAGGGTTGGCTTGGGTTGGATTGAAACCTATCCAACCTAAAGCCGAACTGAACAATTGAAGATGAATAATGTTCAACCCAAATTTGAACTCAATAATTCAAGTTGAATATTTTTCTACCCAAATGGCCAAATCAATCAACCTTGGGTCAATTTGGATTGGGCTTGAGTCGATAAAATATTTTTATGGCATATTATTGGTTACTAAAATAAATAAATGAGAAAATAATTAAATTTAGAATAAAAAA